TTAGGGGACGGTAAGAATAGGTTGTTAATTCAGACCACCAATATTTGCCTCTACTCATTCACCTGCTCCTGTGGATCAGGTGATATTTCGCTTGCATAAGGCAGCGTTTGCTCAAAAGAATAGGGGAACACCTCCTGGAATGGCTGAGCAGAGGTGAAGTCAGGTGCATAAACAGAGCCGTTCTCGCCTACACTGAAATCGCGTGATGTAATAGGTCCCATCAAATCAGCAAGAACTTGATAGGTCAGCGTGTGCTAGCAACAGCAGAAGCGGCTGCTATTCGATTGAGAAATTCGATCTTGTACAGAGAAAAAATCCCCCTAGGCTCCGCGCATAGCACAACTAATAGCCATTTAGCTGCATGCGCTCCTCCGCACTCTCTTCTTCACCTACATCCCGCCTTGGAACGGTTTCATCTAACCCTCGCTTTTGTTTAATTCGCTGTCTGTTATCACAATTCTGCTTCCCATACAAACCCCTGTTTGTATGATTAAAAAGGTGGGCAGGAGGTTCCTTGGTAGTGGTCTTGGATACAACAAGCCGTAGGTTGTTTTCATACGGTAAAAATGAGAAGGGTTTTTTTGTAAGTTGATAAAACTGATTTAGCAAAAAAGAATTTTGTGAAAATAAGATAAAAAAGTTATAAAATTTTGTTGAAATAATTTAATACGGTGGCTATAGGCCGACGGCGTTGGGCGCATAAATCGAAAAAAGGCGCAAAAAACAAATCGAGCTCGAATTGAGCTCGAATAGAGCACGAATCGCTGTCGACAAACTTGGAAATGTAGAGTTTTATTCCAAAGACTTTTCTTTGCCCAAAACCCAGTATCAACGGATTTTTTGAAGACTTTTTGTAATATTAAGCCAAAACTTCGGACTTTTTACATAAGATATCACTATTCCACACTGAACCTGACACTAACCTTTACCCTAACCCTTATCTTAACCCTAACCCTAAACCCAACCCTAACCCCTAACTCTCACCCTTACCCTAACCCTAATTGTGCTCCAATCGAGCTCGGATCGAGCTCGAATTGACCTCGAATCCACAAAAAAACCTGGAAATGTGGACTTTTGTTCCGGCACTACCAAGGAAACTCCTGCCGAAAGGTAATTTAACCTTTTATCCATCTACATACACTGGCCACTGGCACACCTATGACCGGCAACTAGTCTTCCAAGCCCTTAATTACTATTTTCATGCGCCTAACTTAAATATTTTACAGACGACTCGTAAATATTTCGTATATCCGGGACAATAGTTACTTTAAGTCCCAGTCACGAGATATTGTCTTAAAAAAGACATGAAGGCGAAGGCAATAAGTTTGATTTTTATTACTTCGTGAATGAGAAAACAGGCCACAGTTAATTTTTAAATAGCAAATGGTAAGAGGCAGTCAACAAAACCCTAAGACCAAATGAAATAATAAAAGTGGAAAAAAATAATTTGACGTGAAAACAGTCAGGGGGCGCGTACAGACTTAAGTAGGCTTAAGTTCGAGCTTTGGTGAAGGTTCCTTAAGAGCACAGAGGGCCTCTTGGTCATGCTCCTGAACGCTGCAGCTGGAAAAGTACTCCAGCACCTTCGGCAACGTCAAGTCCTCATGCGGAATGTGCGGAAGTATGTCGACGACCTGCTCATTCAATAGTACCTCCAATATGTAGTCTTCAAGCGAAGGCGCCTGACCTAGACAAAAATAGCAAACAAGTTTTGATAGGGGTAATACAAATGCTCCAGGGAGCCGCAGTCGTATTGAACTCGTAACTTTGCAGGCATCATGGAATGAAATAACTGCGTAGGTGCGCAGAAATATGAAATTCGTATTTTATAATTGTTATGACCCGCGCCTGGTACTTGTAATTACCATGAAAAGTAAGCTAGCCCGACCACTGTAATCAAGGTCCGTACCATATAAGCAAGAGAACACGGGGACCAGGAGCACAAAGCAAGTTAGATTAAGTCAGTATCACACAGGCCCGCCTCAAGACACTGTCCGTTTGGGCATGAACCAACCATAATTAAGGAGACATCGCTCCAGAAGATAGGGTATCAGCCGACCGCCGTTGTGTGTTTTGACTTATCCTAGGAATAGACGCATTCCCCACAATAATACAGTGGCTAAGAAGGGCTCGTCCTCAGAGCCCTATACTCATCAGGTCTACTCCAAAGGCAGAAGCTACCAGAATGAGGGCTTTACTAGGCACTGAACCCTGCGTCACCGCCTCGGGCATCAGTGGCCACTGGCGAGGTTATGAATAGTGCTGATTGCTTCCAGTTAGGCCTGAGAGAGTGCGAGACAGGGCGATATCTACTTTCAAATTATTTTTAAGCAACCTAAAGTGCTGTGTTGCATTGCCCGATGTCGTGTCGCCTAAAGAGGCCGAGGTTGCGTGGGTCGATTGTAGGTGTTTTCAGTTAGCCCTAAGGCAGCCGCGACTATCTGGCCGCGCGTGCGTCCGCATGTGGAGAACGGGCAAAGATATTCTCGTAACCGAATCGAAGACAGCTGCTTGCGAAGTCGCATGGCGTTTAAAAAAAAAATCGGATAGCATTGTCGGGTTTCCGCCGCAAGACTGTAGACAATGAGGACTCATGCAGGCAAAAACCAAACATCGCCAGAGCAGCTAGAAAGGACGATTGATCATGATCCATATATACTGCGAAATTTTAGCTATTCGAAATGAGTCAGATAGGAAAGTCAGATTCGGCTCCAAGTTCTGAAGGATGGCCTGGACCACGCCTCAGCATGTTCGTCAGCAAATGGCCTACGACTTAACGACCAGAAGTCTGTCCAGTGTCAATTTCGACTGCGACTCCCTCCCAGTCCTGAAACCATTGACATTCTACCCAACGAGATAGCCTCTTTTCGGTACCTTACTGTTACTCTGGCCTTTAACCTCTAATTTTCTCTTAACAATAAGGGACTTTTTATTAAAATCCGAAAATTTTATATTATATCCGCCGTTTGCAGTCATATCGCACACAGCAAGCCCTCATTCAGCTAGTTGTAGATGCCTGCATTCTCCCCCTCATTTTTTACTGCTCTCCAGTTATTTTTCCAGCTTTACTTACCCCTGTATGCATTTATATAGACCCATGTATGCATTTATATAGACCCCTGTATGCATTGTAATATTTTCGTCGGGCACCAAGGCAATTGCATTCGCATAAATTCTCGCATTGTAATATTTTCGTCGACACCAAGGCAATTGCATTCGCATAAATTCTCCGGATGTTTATGAGTGTGGGTATTTCTTTCTACAGGTACCAATGACAACCGCTTTCTCGAGTAATTGATTTTTTCCATGACTCTTGAAACGGTGGACTGTGACGTCGGCACCTGCAGGATCCCCAATTCCTGAACTTTTTCTCTCTCGATCATCTCGTTTTGAGCATTGGCCATCTTAGCAACAAGCCGCTTAGTTCTTTCCGATGTTTATTATGGCCTTCTCTTCTTATAAGCGGTTTTGAAATCTCGCTCGTAATAATTTTCATTCTTGCTCAGGTTTTTTGCAATTCTTTTGACTGTCGAATAAGAGAAATTGAGTGTCTCGTCTATCCTCTTCAGAGGGATTTCCTGCTCAATATTGAATGTGTTTGGTTTACCTATGCATATGTTTTCTTACTTCGGTGGTATCCAACCAAACAAAATACTAAACTCAAAAAAAATTAAATTAAACTTATAAACTAAAACTAAACTTATACCAACGGCCCCGCAAGACCGAACTCGGGGGCTAGGAATCTCTACTGTGGGCGGTCAACTTAATCGAAGGGTCACTGAATTCTAACGGATGAAAACGTT